CTCATTAGCTGCTTGGATCGAGTACGGTAATGTCCCTAGCTATTTTGAATGTGTGAATTGAATTTGTATTGAAGAATATTGATCTGAGTATTTAAATCGTATAAGAGGAAATCTTTGTATTATTTCTATTTGAGGTATTTCAACAGTAAACTGTGTTAGGTTATCATGATTGTCAAAAATAATGGTTTGTACTAATAAAGATATTAGCACAAGTCTTCATATTGTAATGTTATTGAAAGCAGTATAATGGTATTGATATTATGACAAGTCTTAAGTGTTAAAGATCTGCTGCTTTTAAATGAACTATTATTATTATTATTATCATTATTATTATTACTAGAAATTTTAATTGAATATTTTAGGTTTTTCTCAATATTTTTTGCAGACAATTACATCTTAGAGAGGTATTAAATAAAAAAATTACACATTTTATGGGACAAAAACACAAATAGAAATTTAGTTTGACATCATATTCCAAGTAATGTATCCCTGAGAAACCTTGGAGATGGTTTAGAAAACATGGTCTTTCATTTAAGTGGTCTGATAAGGATTGCATTAAGAATGATGTGATCTTTGCAAAGGGCACTGAGACTCATGTAGTTAATGCACTTAAGATTAAAGTAACATTATTATAGGAGCTAATTAAGGCCAAAGGTCATTAGAAAGTTTGTATGTTACGCTGATGTTCATGGTAGGCCAAATAAAATTAATTGTTAGTTTCACGTCGGTTATTTGACATTATTTCTGGTGAGGGTATTTCCTATTTGCTTTTTAATATCATACTAGGCTGGTAAATAGGAAAAATAGTTTTTGATTATAAAAGAAGTAAAATGAATCTTTGTATGTATTTCTGGCAATTTATGTTCCCACCTGTTCTTAAGCTTTACATCATTCTTTCAGATAGTCATTATTTTTATTGTTCATGGAAAATAAATATTTTTTTTGAAAAATAGCAAATAGTAATTTTGTTTACGAGGCTCCAAAATTTAATTAGGGCAGTGACGTGAAACAAGCAATTAATTTTATTTGGCCTAATATTCATTGAAGCATTCAATAAGAACTAGATTATGCAATTACAACCCTCTACATAAAGGTTTTATTCTCTCCTTTCCTCTTTTCTTTTCCTTCTCTCAGTTTCTTTTTGTTTAGCTTGCCTAGATTAATGGTTACATTATAAATATTAATAAAATAACAAACATTTATAATGGTACTATAAATGCTTCTTATTTATTTAATAATATTTGAGTTTAATATTTTACTTTACTAATCAGATAAATCTGATAAAGTACTGTACCATTGCTAAACTACCATGTTATGCAAATCATACATACAGCTCTTTACATGGATACTGTAAATAGTTGTGATATTGAATTTAAGATGCCGACTGGCAGAAAAATGTTGATAATTTTTTGATCAATGCCTATAATGGTATAATAATTTTTTAACAGCTGATTAAGGACAAACAAATTATAGAAAGCTTGTATTTTATTTATGATCATCGTTGGTATTTATGTTATGCATTAATGTGAAATTGTTATTGTCAGACTCCATTTCCAAAAAAGGCCAATAATTTAAAATTGATAAATCTTGGTACTAAAGGATTACTATTATACTATGCCAAATGTTTAAAAACATACCTTAAAATTATTCTGATAATCAGCTAAAACTTTATACTCAGTCATTGCTAGGATACCACACGCATGCAACTTAAACCAGTAGAACACTGTAAATATTTGTGATACTGAAATAAAGAAGCTTATTGGTTGATGAAATTTTGATTTATCAAGCCTGTCACCTGCTCAAACATCATTTTTATATGTACTGGCCTATCTACAATATCTTGTGAGAAAAAAACCTCTTGAAATTCCACCATTATTTATAGACTTTTATGTGTAGCAATGGTGGGAACCCATATAAGGTGCTAGAGAATAGTGACTTCACTCATCACCTTACAAGTGTCAGCATTAACAAGCTTACGATGATAAGATTAGATAGGTGAAAGGTTAATCAATATGCTATGATGGCCTGTTTATAGGATGATCCCTGTTTGAATGTGTTTAGGTTAATATAGATTTCAGACTATGCTAGGAGATTCTGTACTGTACACATGCTATAGTTGTTAAACTAATGAAAATAGAATACAGGACTCTTTCTAATTAAAGACCACTTTTCTGTGGTCAAAAACCTACAATTATCTCTTTCTTTATTTTTCTAGAGACCAAAGCTGCTAAAGACCATGGAGACCAAAAGTGCTCTTTAATTGGAGGGAGCTCCTGTAGTATTTAAATTGTTTTTTGTACTTTGTACCTAAATTCATCTGAAGAAGTCCACAGTTTGAATGAAAGCTCATGTTCAACAAACTATATACTGTATTCTTATTCTTAAAGGTGCTATCTGTATTTAGCTGATTGTATAAAGTAACCCAGCTAATAATATTACATTATAAAACGTTTTAAAAAATGGTGTTAAAAACGTTATTTTGTAGAGCCATAAGTACATGCATATCTAATTTCACGACATATTGTTTGAACATTCTGCAACGTTTTGTGAACGTTATTTTGTGACATACCAACCACAACATTCGTGAATGTTATAAGAACATTTTGTGTTGGCTGGAAAATTATTGAATCCCAAAAGTTTCATATGAGCGGGGATTTGAAATGAGATAGTTTTCTCTACCTATTAAATAATTGTCAACTAAATTATACGATTCTTTGCATACTATATCATTTAAGTTGCAAATGTGCTGGCAGTGAATATAATGGATTTTGTACTGTAGTAAAAATCATAAAACTGAATTGTTTTGATAACAAGTCTGAAAGTTTTTTTATTTGGTCCCTTAAATATAAGCAGGGTAGGTTTAAGTATATTATGAGCTCTTGGTCAAGAATTGATCAGTTTTTAATCAAACTATAAATTTTGTCATTCAGAAGGTTGATGCTTGGACTTCATTAATGTATCCTTGTACCTTTAACCATTCACAAGTACTTAAGATTAATCATGAAACTATTAAAGAAAGATGGTTTGCATCAACTTGTCAATTCGGTCATCTAGGGTCTGTGATTCAGGATTCAACTTTCATTTATTGAACAGTGTGACCTGTTCCCATGTCATGCTTTTAATCATTGCTTCTAAAACTTTTTCTCTTGTTTGCTTTTCTCTGCCATTCTTTGTTTTACAACCCTGGAATGGTGAATTACACTTGTTCTTCAGCCATTCAAAAAAACTTCCTCCTCATAAAAGGGCAGACTATCTGTTTAATAGGCTTTTGATTTTTGGTCCACTCAAACATAAATGCCACATCCCCAATGAAGCATATAAGAGAGCGACACTTACAATCCATGGTCTTCATACCCTTGAACTTTTTTGGTTATCCTATCCTCTCTGTTTAATTATTTTGTAACTTACACTACTCTACCACTTCCTGTTGTTTTCTTTGTCCTCCTGCCTGGTTGGACACTGTCCCAAATCTTTATACTTCACTAATTTCACTGACCACTAAAATGTTTACTTAAATTGTCAATCAAGTCCTCTCGTCCTTCTAAAAATGAAACATCCTAATTACTTTTGATGTAATAAAAAATTAATTGTAATATTGACAGAAAAATTCCTATATTTTAGAATATGCCAGAGTCAACCTAAAATATGCTTCAGTTTGAGAAAAAGCCCATAATTTCTTTAAATTATTCTTCTGTTCACATTTTAAATTTGTGATACTCTACATAAAAGTGAGTTGAAATGCTCAGTTATTCCATGAGCACTGGTCATTTGTTTATCAAGTCACAGTTGAAGGAATCAGCATGAACATAAAACATATAATAAATACCTTGCTGTAACGTGAGCTGTTTGTACATGAAAAGATAACCACCATGGGAAAAATGATACATCAACATCCCAGATAAACTGCCATGGGAAAGCTATGGGCAATTCTACATAAACATCCCAACTGCCGGGGAAAGCCTTAAACAAAAGTTTCACAAAACCAAATACTGTATACACATTTTGTAGAACCTTACTCATTAGTCCAACCAGGAAGAATGGGCTATAATCAAAAGAGAAATTTCATGGTTGTTGGCATGAAATATTAGCTGATCAAATTAATATGTATACTTTTAAATAAATATAATTAGGACAAAGAAAAAAATATTAATAATTGAGAGGATTGATATAGCTGGGATTATTCTACTGTACACTAACACATGTATGGCTCGAGGCAATTTACACATGTACCATAGGGCAGTGGCTTGAGGCTATTTACTTACTAGGTACCATGGGCCTACAATTACTTGCTTCTGTAGTGTGAGAATGACAGCTAACAACATGGTCTCATTAGTTGAGTTCAAGGGTATGGAACCCATTGATGCAAACACACAATCAATTTTTGACTTTCCAAAATATTTACATAATCATGGGCTGTGAACTTGACTCTGAAATCCATATTTTCTTTTAAATCACATTTTCATTGTTTCTTTTGTTATAATATATGTATAAGTTGATTGACAGAATAACATTAGTCAAGTCAATCTAAACAAATATGGGGCTCAACCAAATCAATTGCAACAATGTCATTGCAGCCCAATTTATTATCACTCAGTTGTACATACAGTATTTCAGAGAAGTAACATAAATAGCAGCCTAAAAGTGTACAGGTACTTTTGTAGAAAGTTTACAAATTTGCATGAATATACAAATAAATTAGCTACTGCCATTTTGACAAAATAGATATCTGTATAAAAATTACATAAATAAAGTAATAAATAAAATGTCAGGCCTATATTTTTATGGTCAGACCATTTAGACTATTAAACATATTTGTGAATTATGTATACTAATTATGTCAATTATGCATATTAGCTGCTGGCATGACAAAATTGAATATATTTAAAATAATAATATTATGATGATGATAACATACCATGAATTAAAAATCAATCTTAATAACTTAAACAAATAAAAATATTTACAAAACAATTTATATTATAATAATGGACATTGCTTACCTGCAACAGCTTGTACAAATCCTGATACTGTAAAGATACTTTTATGACAAATGCTTCGTTTACACAGACTAATAAATGCCACGCAAAAAACAAAACTCAATAACATAAAACCAATTCCGTAGAACACTACGGAAGCCTTCCAAAATCCACTTGCAATTCCCGAAAAATTGTTAGTGTATATAGTACATCGAATTGAGTCCGGTAATCCCAGTCGCAATTGGTAGAACTTTGTTAGTTGCCGACAGCTATTAAATATTCCAATGGAGGGGCTCCACTGGTCCGATGTTTCACCCTCCGGTCTCGTCACATTCGTGTGGTCTCCGATATATTTACTGCGTGATTCACCAATCAGCCAATAGGGTTGACCAAGAGCAATTAAATGGCCTAATACAACAGCTATACTTAAAAGCGACCATAACAAGGATCGTGATGTCACAATGACAAAACACATGATTATCCCTGGAGTTTGTTTTTGCAAAACACAGTAGATAAACTGCACCAGCAATGGAATGATTCTGGCCGTATTACAGGTAAAAACCAAGTGATGACTGGCTTCCTCTCTCACTTCAATGATATCTGTTCAACACCAATGATGATTATTTTCTCATAGGGTTTCCCTTCAGACGTTGTTCTTCTCGTAGAGAATTGGATACCTTAGGCGTTATCGCTTCACGAGTGTCATTCTCAAGAGACTAGCTGATAATTTGAAGCCTCTGCGCCTGCCACCGTTGATTGTGTTCTTTTTAAAGGAATATCGTAGCTCTGCCCAATTACATAAGAGACCTGGAAGAGGTAATAATGTGAGATGAACGATGAATGAATCTCATTTAAAATCAATTAAGTGTGAATTGAAATAGCAATTGGAAACTCATTTTATCGACCTGAAAAGAATACATAATTTCTGTAATTTGCATTTATAGAAAAGAAAAGAATCAATATATATTGCTATGAAACACTGTATTCTACAATAATGTTTTAACCAAGCCGATACTTGTTGCGGATTCAGGACAGGAAATTTCACAGATGGAGGGTATGTAGATTACTTCAGCTGAGGTACAAAATGTGTCTATGGAACCCCTAGAAGGCCAGAAATGACACTCTAAATTTAATATGAAAGCAATTTTCTTTTTCCCCCATTTTTTTTTATTTCAAAACATGTAGGGAGTCCAGGAACTTCCCTCCCCTTCCTCTAAATCTGCCTCTGCATGAAGCATACACATGATAGTCTATTTGATAAACAATGTTTAATTTAAATATTTAAATGCTATTTATCTTGTAAGAAGAAACTGAAAATTCATCATATCTTTGCAATGGACAAAAAAAAATGGTCTTCAGCAAGTGTAGTTGGCTGCTGTGTTTGATGTGTAAATAACAACAATGAATTTCATAATGTTTACGCTACCATGATTTGGAATGTCGTAATAAACAGTGAAAATGAAAGTTGAAAGCTATCAGCATCCTAGCTGATATTTTCAGAAAGGAAATAATCAGCAGGGCAAGTTTTAAACAAATAACTTTTAAAGTAGAAACACAACCTTCATACGGTAATTACTGTATTCAAACATCATTAAGGTTAATTATAGTTATGATGGCTATGTTTCTCTTTAATAGCATTTCATTTTCAATGTATATTTTTTGTTTTTGTATTTCATGTATTGTGCAATATAATTTGGCCTACAAAGAAGATGAATGCCTATTGAGTTAACGATACTGCTACATGAAGCTTGACACAATAGGCATGCAAAAATACAAGTATGTTAACAACAGTACTAAATAAATAGAGTTTATATATAGTTATAGTTTCAAATTTCTAGATATATGGTGCCTTATACAGGGGCAGATCCAGAATTTTTGAAAGGAGGGGCACCAATTTTATATAGGCCTAATGTATATTATACAGTAAATATGTATCCAATAATGGTATAATTCGTGTTCAGTACAGTATATGCTGTTATGAAATATTGTAACATTTAGTATTTGTATGCTATTTTGTATCTTAATGCTAAAAAAATATAAGGTACTAGCAGTGGTAAAACCGGGGGGACATGGCCCCATACCCCCGCCCATTCCTCATCCCTACATGTTACTTATATTTCAAGACTGAACAAACTACCCAGATGAACCACTACCTGTAAGGTTTATATATTAATATTAATAATTAATTGTATTTATAATGTAATCTGTTATCATTAATTGAGTTTGGTTTATTAATATCTGTTGATATATTTATTGCATGTTGATTTACTGTCAGTATACTAGAAATGGATTTAATTTCAGACCAACTGAGTTAGTAAGATGAATCACGAAGGTATAAAAAACCTCAATGGTTTACAGTAGATGACTCATGTTTTTTAGACCAAACTGGATGCTGGTAATTATGTTTAGTACGCGAGTAATGTGGAAGAACATACTGTACATTAACCTAATTCATCAATCTCAATTGTCAGAAAACAGATTAGTATTGTGTTAATGATATACTTAGTACTTAAATGCAATGCGCATGCTTAGGGTATGTCCACACACTCGGCATAAGGCTGGCCTAACGTAAGCCTTTGTGTGTGAACTAGGCAGTGGCGTTACCTACGCCACCCACAACACTACCTCTATGGCGTTATTAACGCTACCTGCAGACCCCAGATTAGTTAACGCCATGGAGCTAATGCCAGTGAATGATTCTGACCTCAATTTAAGATTTTAACCAATCATGATTAGTTTTGGAATAGATTACTTGCTTTCCTGTGCTCGCTATAACTAAAATGGTATTAAAACCGGTTTTTGTTCTATTACATTTTTACATAGTTCACAATGTATGATGTGTTGAACTTGATTGTCTTTTGTAAGATATTTTAAACTAGTTAGAACATGGAAGTATAGTTAGACTACCTATAACACCTGCAACACCAACAATTGTTCCACAATGCAAGGTAAAAAATCAGAAGTAAAATTGTTCATTTAAAAATTTCACTTACAACAATTCACAGATTCAAGAGTTTCAATGATACACTGTACAGTAGATATTTTACTACAGTTAAGAACCCGTACATTATGTAAAACTTAAAACTATTCCCCATAGTTTAACGCCAGCGTTAATATAGCATACGCCATTTGTGTAAACACTTTGGAATTTTAATCCATGGATTTGCTTTGCCAGCATAAGCTACGCCAGCCTTACGCCGTGTGAACATACCCTTAAATAGAGCTATTGAAACTGTACTGACAATTTCATGTATGTTTTGCAACTGCAGAAAAAACAAATCACAATAATATTCTACAAACAAATTAAAAGAAATCATGTAGTTTATATTTGCATGTGGCTATGTTATGTCAATATTCGTACACTTTACCAAGATAGTATACTGCAATGTATTTAAATGTGGTTTAATTGGAATTTACATTAGGTCCTTGATTTATGTATAATAAATACAATTATACATTTAATTGTCAAATCTCAAAAATAAATCTACTACAACAATCTCATTTCATTCTGATGATCAAGAACCAATAAATTTATTTTATCTAGCCAAATATTGCTCTTGATTTCTGAAAAACAAAGTCATCAAATGTCAACAATTCATTCACTCTCAATAAATAAATATGGGAAAAATCATCTATTTTTAAATTTCACTAATAAACCAGGGATTTAAAAGAAGGAAATAACATTGTATAAATTAAATAAACAGAAATCATCATAATATAATAATTGTTCTTTTCCAAGTGGTTAATATCAATTTGAGAAGTTTTTAAATTGATTGATGATATTTTAAAATCTGATCATAAAGTAATTTGTGGTTTTAACTCCGACAGAGTTACTTGGGTTGAACTACAATAGTCCTCTGTAATATTCTGGTGAAAATGTAACTGTGTAACACTAACACATTGTTTATTTTTTCTTTATACTTCAGGCACTTGTAGTACTGGCATACAAATTTCCAAAGTAACCTTTACATACAAAAGAAGTTAAACAACATACAAAACAACATACTGTAAAGTAGTATTACAAAATTACTTTACTGTAGATTTTACTTTCAAATATTTTTGTCTTCATGTTTTGGGATTATTAATATATTTCTATCTTTTCTAATTTATTATAAATTTCGTTTGTATGGTTTTATATGGGGTCATTATTATATTTGATAGCAGCCTGTTACAAGCCTATTGTTTTAATTTTAATGTATAGTTCCAAAATATGTATCTTTTCTGACTTAATTATCTGATGATAATGGCAGTGAAGATAATGATAATCACAATATTATTATAATGATGATGATAAATATGATGGTAATGATGATGATGATGATGATGATGATGATAGTGATGGTGATGATGGTAGTGATGGTAATGAGGATAATTATGATCATAGTAATGATGGTGATGATGATAAATAATGAGGATGAGGATGATGATCCACCCAAACATTGATCAAGTGAGCTTTAATCAGCAATGTTCAAGTATAAGCCTACCTTTAATATTCAAATATTCGTCTTGATATTAAAAAAGTGACAACCAATATGGCAAACATATCATATGATTTATGTCTCAGCCACAGTACGGGAGAATCATATCATAATGACCACACCGTGAAGACTGCGTCCCATCTCCTCAGATGATCACTCGTGCTGAATATCGTTGATGAGGGAATCATTTTGCTAAATTAAAGATTATGCTAATGCGCTCAAATGGCCTGCTGTAGACTTGGAGCACACTTATTGATATTTCCAAGCAATTTACGTTGCGATATGTACGCAAATAAATAGGAATCGAATTAGGTATGGACGCTCATAATGTAGTTCAGACCACAGATTAAAATGGAAGGACATTTCTAGACTCAGTGCAAACAATCGTAAATCATTGATGCAAATCGGACTACTGGGATGTTCATATGTGTAGATGGTATTATCGCTGCCTCATCGCCTCGTGCAGCACGGATTAATGGTGCTCTGGTGTACTATATTATGCAGCATTCGACATATTATTATAAAACTATATGAATTATTAAATGTTTGTCTATAGATTTTATATAACGTATATATATTTCCCTGGCTTTTGGAGTAGAAAAACTCCAATAACCTTGTTAATCATTTTGTTTGTGTTTTTATTTCTTATGAAATATTGTAAAGGACCAAATAAACCTTTTATAACTAGAAATTGCAAATTGCAAGTGAAGTGCTGCGAAGTACAACTGCATATAAATGTTGTTCGAACAAAATTATTTATGTGAGTCAAGTGAAAATAATGAATAATAAAAATATAACAAATAATATGAGACACGACACATTGTCTATATTAGAACACTTCTCATTGGGTAACAAAGTCGTAATTTTTCATTTTTGTCAAAAAGTGTCTATAGTGGTGAATTATGGTTTAGGTTTTTTTTAATAAAGTTTCAAAAATTTCTATGTATGTGGAAAATGTAGTTGATTACCAAAGGTTACAATTTTTATTTTGAAGACTGCATGGTCTAGGAAGTGTACATTTTTTTATGGGGCATGTGTATAAGAGACAGCCAGAAATTCAATCCGGGTATTGGTA